GCTGGGGGCGTTGCTTAGAAGCTGCCAGTGCAGGGGGGGGGCTGCTGTTGCCTTCTGCTTGGCAGAAGTCTTGAGCTTGCCAGCTCCTTGGGGTGGTGGTCCCTGACCCCTCCTGTGGGTGGCTCAGCTTTGCTCCTGCCTGCACCCAGCCTGGCTCTGTCTCTTCTCTCCAGTGACACCAACACCGTGGTGGGTTTGCCAAGGCCCATCCATGAGAGCATCCGTACCCTGAAGCAGGTGAGCACATGGATGAGTCCCTCCAGCTCCTGCCATCGTGTGGGGGGAGCCCCTTCCCCATCCCCCTGCACTGCTCACGGGGCAGGACCCCGGGGCCTTTCCCTGACCCTCCTCCCACTTGCTCAGCCCTGTGACATCAGAGGCCTCAACTTCTCATCTCATTCCCCACCCCTTTCTCCCTGGGGTTGTCTCAGAGGTGGGGCCAGCAGCCACCACTCTGCCCATGGATGATGATCCCCACGGGGCCAGGAGGAAGAGAGGCCCCTGGAGGGAGGTGAGGGGGTGTTGGGCTGGGGCTGGTGGCAGCTCTGCTCTCCCCACACAGCACAAGTACACGTCCATCGCCGAGGTTCAGGTGCACATGGAGGACGAGTACCTGCGCTCCCCCTTCTCTGGGGTGAGTGGGGATGAGCCTGGCAGGGAGAGCCTGGGCTGGGACCTGGAGCCACTCGCTCCCACTGGGCTTCTTGGGGCCTGGGGGGTTCGCTTTGCTAGGGAGGGAGGAGAGAATTCTCTGGGGTAAAGGGCTGGGGGTGTGTGGGGAGGGTTTGGGCAGGAGCCAAGAGCGTCCTGCCCTTGGGGTTGGGGAGCCTGGAGCTGAGCTGGGCCTGTGGTGCTGCTGGGAGCTCCTGGTGTGAGGTTTTCTGCTCTCTCCTGGCACCAGGGGGAAGAAGAAGTGGAGCAAGTTCCTGCAGAGATCCTGTACCAGGGCCTCCTGCCCAGCCTGCCACAGTACATGGTGAGCTGGGGAGCACTGGGGGTCCCCTGGGCTCAGTGGGGGGTTTCCATGCACTGCTCCAGCCCTTTCCAGTCATGTCCCCCCACGTTTTCATCCCTCCCCACATACAGATCCCTGCTGACAGGAGGGTGGGGGTGTGGTTTGAAACTCAAAGAGGGAGATTTAGACTTAGTAGAAGGAAGAAATTGTTGCTGCTGAGGGTGGTGAGCCCCTGGCCCAGGCTGCCCAGAGAGGTGGTCGCTGCCCCATCCCCTGGAACCATCCCAGGGGAGGTTGGCCGGGGCTCTGGTGGGGATGTCCCTGCTCAGGGTTGGACTGGATGAGCTTGAAAGCTCCCTTCCCACCCAAACCAGGCTGTTACTCCCTCCTGGGGTGGGGAGGGGGGAGCCTGTGACTGGCCCCTCCCTTTCCCAGCACCTTTTCCATCTCCCTTCTCCCCAGATCGCTCTGCTGAAGATCCTCCTCGCCGCAGCCCCCACCTCCAAAGCCAAGACTGACTCCATCAACATCCTGGCAGATGTCCTGCCCGAGGAGATGCCGTGAGTGAGGGTGGAGGGCGAGCAGAGGTGCTGGGTGGTGGTGGGAAGGGACAGGAGGGTGTCAAGCAGGGTGACACCATTTGGGATGAGGCCTCCTGGCTGATCTTGCCCATCTCCTGCTCGGCGGAGGGTCAGGCATGGGGTGTTGCTGCAGAAGTTGGCTGCAGGTGGCTACTGAGAGGCTAAGGGATGGCAAGGACTGCCCACAAACCCCTCTGGGGCTGGCAGGGGGTGGGCAGTGCCACGGATCCTCCTGTGTCCCTCAGGACCACGGTGCTGCAGAGCATGAAGCTGGGGGTGGATGTCAATCGGCACAAGGAGATCATCGTCAAGGCCATTTCGGCCGTGCTCCTGCTCCTGCTCAAGCACTTCAAGCTCAATCACATCTACCAGGTGAGGCTGGCTGGGGTCTGCCCACCCTGCACAGGGCTCTGGGGCTGGGCAGGACCCAGGGGGGGGCCCCATTCACCCCCTTTTCTCCCCAGTTTGAGTACATGGCCCAGCACCTGGTCTTCGCCAACTGCATCCCGCTCATCCTGAAGTTCTTCAACCAGAACATCATGTCCTACATCACTGCCAAGAACAGGTAGAGGAGGGGGGTTCCTGCTTGCTTTGCCCCTCTGCAGTCCCTCCCTGGCTGAGCTCTGGTAGGGGGGAGGTGTGAGGCTGCCAGGGAGGGTTTGGGGGAGCAGCAGGACACCCCCTCTCCTTCCTGCAGCATTTCTGTCCTGGACTACCCGTACTGCGTGGTGCACGAGCTGCCCGAGCTGACAGCAGAGAGCCTGGTGAGTCCCTCCCTTCTCTGCTGGGTCCTGGGTGCCCCCCAGGGGGTTGGGGGTGTGGGGAGGCAGCCAGGGGTCCAGCACCCAGCCCTGGCACACTCAGCACCCCAGGGTTAACTGCTGGGCCTTTGGGAGGTGTGGGGCTGGCAGGTGGCTCCTGCCTGTGTGCTGTGCTGTAACATATTGGGGAGGGTGCTCAGACCACAGCAGCCTCTTCTCATCCCTGCTCTGCTCTCTTATGGAATCATAGAATCCTTTGGGTTG